CCAAAGTGGAAACCCCCCCTTTTTGCCTCGTGTAACGCCACCACCACAGTGGTGGCACTGCCACCGACCGTCAGTTGGTGGTGGTGAATCTTCGCCCCTCCGTCTCTCTCTCTCTCGTAAATGAGAGAGAGAGAAAGGAAAATGTTTGATTTTGTTTTAATTTTGATTTTTTTGGAAATTGCACCCTAAGCCTCACATTTTTAAAAGTGTTTTATTTAAGTCTCAAGGTTTTAAGTGTTTTTAATTTCAGTCCCTTAATTTTATTTTTAGTTTTAGTAAATATTCAATTTAGTCCCTAATTTCTAAAATGTTTAATTTCAGCTCTTTTAGTTTTATTTTCAACTTTAATAGATTTACTGTTTAGTCAATAACTTGTAAAATTTATAATTTCAGCCATTTTAATTTTATTTTCAATTTTAGTAAATGTTCAATTTAGTTCCTAATTTCTAAAAGGTTTAATTTCAGCCCTTTTAGTTTTATTTTCAGCTTTAATAGATTTACAGTTTAGTCCCTAACTTGTAAAAGTTATTATTTCAGCCCATAAACTTTTATTTTCAGTTTTAATAGATTTATAGTTTAGTCCATAACTTCAAAAAATTACTATTTCAATCCTTAAACCTTTATTATCAGTTTTAGTATTTATTAAATCAGTCCCTAAAGTTCTTATTTTTCACATTTAGCCCGAATGCTTTGAAAATGGTATTTTCAACTCTTAAATTTGTCAAATTCAATTTTAATAAATATCCAATTATGTCCCTAAACTTTAATTTGTCGCTATAAAACTTTAAAATTTCGAAATACTAATTCAAACCTAATTTCTATTTTGGCTAGACGAAACGTACGAACATTTAGGAGATTAAGGTTTCCTCCCGCTCCACTTTTCATGCAACTCGAAATATTTGAGGTAGACTCGCCACCATTAATTAGTTTAAATTATAATTGCATGTATTATGTGAATTTACGTGATTTATATGTTTTGATGCATGAGATGAGAATATATCATATGAAATATATGATGTTGTTATGTTTACCATAACTTATATGCTTTATTGCATGAGAAGAAGACGAGAATCTCTTATGAGATAAGATGAGAATGTTGTGCATAACTTATGTGCTTAAATGCACGAGACGAGACTACCCACACCCTATGTTTTTAAAGAGCCTATGATTTTCAAGAAAATGAGCCTATGATGATGTCACGATATGAATTGTATGATTACGTGTTCAATTATTCTGTAAATTAATTATTGGCGATGAGTCTACTGAGTATTTTTTCGAAATACTCATTCCGTTATTTTAATGACCTTTGCAGATTTTGGAGACGGTCGGGTTTGATGGACAGTGGTGACAATGATTTAAATGGATAAAATTATTTACATTTGAGAAATTACGTATTCGAACATGATTAACGTACTTTGTTATTTCAGTTATTTCAGAAACTCGAGATTTAAAGTTTAATCAAATTTTTTAAGTTAATCAAATGAATTTTGTTGTTGATAAGGTTTTACCGTTATAAATGTGATGTTTTAAAATTTAGTTATTTTTCGCAAACTTTTTTTTTTTTAATTCAGTTACAAATGAAGATGACATGGTAATTCGATTTCATGAAACTTGGGGCGTTACACAAACCAACATAAATTTCCAGTCTTTGTTGGTAAGATATTTTGGTACATTGTAGGAGTGAAATTTGAATTTGGACATTGCAACAAAACACTAGTAGATTAGAGATATTATGTTCTTGATCAAATGTAAGTTGTAAAGGCGAGTATCGATAATAAGAAGTTGGTCTTGTAAGAATCAATTATGCAACATACAAGCATAACCCTAAACAAAAGTTGGGATTTTTGTTTTCAAAAATAATGGCCCCTAGTCATAAATTGAAGACATTTGATAAATGATTATACTAAGTCATTTTTGTATGGATGTGAGCAACCGAATATTTTAAGACAATTCCAATTGACATATAATACTCACTGAATGCTTGGCATCTAAATTCACCCACATTATTAAGATGGAGTATTTTAATTGAGTAATCAAGGAATTAAGCTCTAATTTTATGATCTAATAGTCAAGAAAATGATGCATTTCTAGTTGAAAGCAAGGAAATATAGGATCGTCTAGTAGAAGTATCAATTAAAACCATATAATAACGAAACCATTCACATAATGGATATATGGCTCACTATATGTTCATGATTTCTTTTTTAAGAAAGTTGAAGATTTGATATTAACTTTTATAGCAGAAGGTCTAATAATTAATTTGTCTTGCGAACAAATAACACATGCATAATCATTAGATAATATAATCTCCTAGTTCTTTAGAGGACGTGCATGCAAGTCATTAATTATGTAAAAATCAAATATGATATACATGTTACGTACTATTTATAACACTAAGTCTTTCTTTGTTGTAGATTAAAATCTGATTTTTAATAGATTTTGATAAAAGTTGATGGAATGTAAAAATGTGTGATTAAAATTAATTGTTAACTTTGATTTTAAATTAAAATCATATTTTAATTTGTACCAAACATGTACTTAATTATTTATAAATAGTGGATACGTATTAATAAAAAATTTAAATCTTAATAAATGTGCGAGTAAAATATAATATAATTAATTTATAAGTATTTATAAACTTTGACGAAGATACACAAAAGTAAAATAGTAATGCTAAGTAAAATTATTATAAAACTAAACAAAGAGTTTGCAATTAGTCTTGCTGGAGATTTTAAAAAAAAAAAAAAAAAAAGAGGAAAAAATTTACAATTTAAATATAATCTGTATGCAAACTTTTACATTCGGCAACCTGTGTATCTATAAAATACACGTGGTTGTATTTCATTGGAACTCCAATTAATTCTTATAGTAGTGTGGAATTTTATAGAAAGATCTCGTCTTTTCTACAGAGTATTATTATAATTCTTTTTTGTCGAAGATGCTGACAGACGGCCCCAATCCATTTTTCCCAGAAACGCCGTGAAAGTGCTAGAATCATCATCTCCTTCTTATATATATCATGCCCCTCTAAGTTCCGTTCATCGCAGAAAATTTGAAAGGTTCGATTCAGCTATCAAGAAATTTTAAATTCTCGCACTTTGATTCTAGAGATACATCAGAAAAAATGTCTCTTATTCCAAGCTTCTTTGGCAACCGACGAAGCAACGTTTTCGATCCGTTCTCTCTTGATGTTTGGGATCCCTTTGAGGGCTTCCCTTTCTCAAGATCGGTAGCCAATGTACCAAGCTCTGCCCGTGAAACCTCTGCGTTTGCCAATGCTCGCATAGACTGGAAAGAGACTCCAGAAGCCCACGTTTTCAAGGCAGATCTTCCCGGACTTAAGAAGGAAGAGGTTAAAGTGGAGGTTGAAGAAGGAGGAGTGCTGCAGATAAGTGGAGAGAGGAGTAGAGAGCAAGAGGAAAAGAACGACAAGTGGCATCGCGTGGAGAGGAGCAGTGGTAAGTTCCTCCGCCGTTTTAGGTTGCCGGAAAATGCCAAGTCGGATCAGGTAAAGGCAAGCATGGAGAATGGTGTGCTTACGGTGACTGTACCTAAGGAAGAAGTGAAGAAGCCTGAGGTTAAATCCATTGAGATCTCTGGTTGATTACTCCTCTGCATTTTGATCTTGCTTGTGAATTTTTGACGTCTGTCTGTGGTGATTATGTTGAAGAAAAGTGTCGAGTGTCTTACGTTTGGAAATAAGATGGTGTGTTTGAGGTTGAAATGTTGTAAAATTCTTAAATATATGTACAAATAAATTTATCTTGTTCTTGTACATCTGCAAGCGTTTTTAGCTCTGTTTTTATTACCAGCTTTCCAATTCAGACTCAAAGTTAGAAGAAACAAGAAAATTATGCTGTGAAATCATATGCAGAAAATAAATAACATTTAATATAGTTTAGATTTAATAAATATTTATTTCTGAAAAAAAATTTATAGCATGATTGAACTATTGAATGATGTTATAACTATTGAATCATGTACATTTCTGCACAAATTGAGGAAACTAGTAAATCGTGCACTGTTCCAAGGGGTGTGTTTCTCTTTGTATATTATTATCTGGTTATGTTCATGCTCAGTACGTCTCTCTTCAATTCTCTCTAAATTTACTGGTTCTGAATTTCGTAATGAATTTTTTAAACGCCTGCACTGATGCTTATATGCTCCTTATAGCCATGGGTATGCAACTTGGGCATGCATGGAATTTAACCCGGTTTAGGTTCCAAAGGTCAGTGGCACTGATAAGTCATTGGCCATGGCATCGCCAGAGCAAATCGACCTTGCCTACTGTGAGCAAGGGAAAAATCTACTATAGCTCTTTAGCCCAGGAATGAATAATGGAGAGAGCACACGATTTCATATATAAAATCTCAACACTCTCTCTCTCTCCTGGCGTTGACGCACTTTGAGACTTACCAAAAAGACTACTAGGAATGCCATTGCATTCTAATTGATTCTTGAAACCAAACATATCCTCACATCATAAAGCGAAGGAATGTACTAATTTACAAAATGGATGCTGAGAACATGCATCCTCACCCTACTGTATTTTGAGATGTCATGTGAGAAATGCGGGAATAAACAGTAGTCAAGCTTTCTTCTCTATCAGTTGTTAAAAATCTGAAATGGTTCAGGTGGTCAACACCCAGTATAGCAAGAAATTAACCCTTGAAATATTTCTGCAACTCAGAAAAGATTGCACATCAAATGGCACTGGTTGATAACAAAGAATAGTGAAAAACCACAAATATATAATGGAAGGAAGCAGTGGGATTAAATTACAAAATTACTATGATATTCTCACAATCAAAATAGATAACACAACAACAATACAACACGAAGTTCAAGTCCTCTGGACTGCTATCTCTAATATACACAACCTGGCAGCACATAAGAGCCAGTAAAGCAAAGTGTGAAAACCAGAATGCCACTGAACATAAAATATTGAAAGGAGCCTCGATGTTTTCTTGAATTACCATTTTGTAGCACTTGTGAAGAATTCATGAGGGTACATTGAAGTGAAAAAGCCAGGAGATGACAAATGCAAATACCATACAAGCTAACAAGAAGTTCAGAAATCGGTGACCCTGCAAAAAGTTTCGAGACGCTGTTTGGGATGCTGATGTAGCTGTGGCAGCAGTATCATTTGCTTCATTCCACTGCTCCATCAATTCAGCCTCGTTCACACCAGAAACATTTCGTGCAATTGATCCACATATCTCGCAAGTTCTGCAAATCAGAATGTAAAGAAATTTTAATGCATGAGCATGACAAGATTGCTCCTAAAGAAATGTGCATTATATATAAAACTCGAAACAGATAGTAACAGGGCTAACAAGGAGTGCAAGATTAGCCAAGTTGGTCAGAATTGCCAAATAAAGCAGCAAAATAAAATATAACTTCAAAACCACCAAATTCTCAAATTGAGCCCCTGTTTCTCCTATTCTTTCAAAACTGTTTTCTACACTCATTTTCAACCATACATTCACATAATAAAATATTCTATACATAAACCCAAAACTTTTCCCTACTTTTTAACCATACATTCTCCAAAAATCACTATTCAATACAACATTTTTCCAAAAAAAAAAAAGACCACCAAAGGGGCTGAAGGACTAATCATTGTTCTCGAGTATTTGGTAAATCATTTGCATTATCTGCCGATTTTTGGAGGACAGAATCTTATTAGGAAATAGAAAGTCGAGCTATTATTTCAGAGCTCTGGTGAGATAGAAGGGAAGTATGCTTCAACCTTTAGGGATTACGAACGGTGGTTTGACTATAGATGAGGCGTCATTTTTCCTTTATCAATCCTAAAAGGTTGAACATTACATAACTTTGAGATTTGATTTGATGAGAATAAAGTTTCAAGAAATAAAAAGGTGACATAAGACTTCACAAGGAAGTTGTGCAGAGCATCTTATGTTATTGGGGCATAGTAGAGATTCTAGAGAAGGTGAAAAGGAGTTCAATTTCCACACCAATTGATCCAGAATTTTCCATGCCATGTGGTTTGCAGATATCATAGTTGAGACTCGCCTGGTGAGCCGTCAGAAAATTAAATAAGATGTCCAGTCAATGACATAGACAGTGACATTCAAGACAGCCCTTTTGCTATTATCATTGAAACTTCAAAAAACTGATTCAGGCATCAGAATCTATTACCATGTGAATGAGCTCATCCATGGAAGTTGGAACAGTTGGCAAATATGTCAAGGGATAGTATGCATTTACAAAGAACAGGACATCTAAGACAATTCTCTTGTGCTTCAGCTGCCAATTCTCCAAACCCAAAAGGTGGCAATGAAAGGTTGACTTGGTGAAGTAAGCATCAAAATTCTTGCAATTCAATGCTAATCACTACCATTAAAATGGTAGAGATATATCATTCATATGAATGCTTGCTGATAAGAAGTCTCAAGGTTCCCAATAACAAGAAACAAGCAAATCCCAGTAAGGAGTGCATCTGAAAAATGATGAGAAGTTCGACCATGAGAATACATTGTACAAAAAAAATATCCTTGACTTCCATTTCTTTCACCAACCACTGCATCTCTATATGAGCGTGTTTTCTTCAGTATTTATTTACAATTCTTTTATTGGCTGGGGGGAGAGGGGGCCGGTGTGGAGGGTGGAGGAGATTTGTGAATAAAAAGGATAGTTCGAGGAATTAATTTAATTATGTCTAAGACCGAGACAATCCAATATGAATTTATCCAGTGGAACTCCCAGTAAAAACTTCATAGCTACCAAGAAAAGATGGACACTCATAACAAGAACTAGAATTGAAGGAGAAGGGGAAGAACAGAAGATGGAGAAAATAGAGGGTAAAGAGATGGAGAAGAAGAGGAGCAATTAGGAGAGGAAAAATTGTTTATTCCATTCATTAAAAGCCCTAGTCCTATTTATTGTTGAAATTTTGACCAAACAATGAAATAAAGTAAAATACATAAAAATACTGCCTAATTGCTTTTCCGAATACAACCATCCAATCTTGGTAATATTGCAATATAATATCATTAAGGATCTGGATCTCCATCACCAAGTCAAAGGATATAGAGATAAGATCCTAGTATCACATGAAACTTTTTTGTCGTGACAATTTTGTCAACAAAGTTCTTTAAAGTAGTGCCTTGCCTAACATTCATTTTATTTGCACATTTTTCTCCACCAACAGACATGAATCTAACAAGTTGACCAACTGATAGCACCTGCTTAGTTTTTAAAGAATGAAAATTTAAGGATCTGACAATTTAGGTTAAAAGATTTTACTCCTCCACATGCCTCCACTAATTCAAGTTGATAAATTTGCTTAGATAACTAGAAACAAGCAACCACTCTTATCAATTCGGTATCCAGCCATATATTCAATCTATTATACAGACAAGACATCCATCAATTGAAATCAAAACCCATAAGAAAACCAAGTGAAATGTCAATGCCAAGTCCAAACTGTTTAAAGAAAAACTCACAAAGTCCCAGAAAATGAACATTAAAGAATGCCGGCCATAAAGGTAGAACTTCCTGGTACTTTTATCTTTTTATCTATTCACAGATTCTTCCGATTTCGCACCCACCTTTTTTCCTTTATTCCACATCTGGTAAGTCTTTTATTATCATCTAAATTCATAACTTTTCTACCAAAGCAAAGTTACATTGTGTCTTCCTAACATTTCACCCAGCCCTTTTGGTCGTATGCCATCAATAATTGACACATCCAATAAGTATAGAAACTGAAAATGAAAAATCATCACGTTAGTAAACAACCTACTTGATTTGATCGTCATTCCAGCAATTTAAAAAGAATTACCATACTTTTTAAGCACAGTAAAAGATGGTTAACCTCCAGATGAGTTTGAAAGAAACTGGAAAAACGTGAATTTAAAGAAAGCTATGTTCAACATTCATAAAGATCAAAACTTGAATACGATTGGATACTTACTTGTTTCCCTTTATCTTGAACCAAGCCTCAGCACATTGATTGTGAGCAGCAGCCAAATCACCTTTACAAGAACAACCCAGTTCAATGGGTAAACCAGAGTCTTGATTGCTTGGATCCAAGCTCAGATGACAAATCCTACAATCTCTAATAATCTTGACCAAATGCAGCTTGATTTCTGGTGGACCATCATTCAGATCCAACACCTCCACTAAACACTCTGACACATTGGATTCTCTTTTCTTGCTGTTTTCATCAATACTAGTATTTTCAGAGACACTCACAATCTCACTTCCACATGGACTTGATGTAGAGTGATCATTCGCATTAGAGGAGATTGAACCGCCGCCGCCGCCGCCGCCGCCGTCATCTTTCCCACTGCGATTAAAACTAGCAGCCTCTAAATCTACGTCATCAAGGGATTTGTGTAAACTTGCCATTTTTACAGAAGCCCAGATAAAGAATCTTCATGTAGAGGAAAAATCAGACCAAGATCATTTATAGAGAGAAACACACAGTGCACTCGATGAGCCAACAGTAAACTGCTCCCATATGCAGAGAGATTCTGCTCCAAACCCAATTTCTGACTTAGCTGAAGAATATAACAACTTTATTATGTAGTTGCAGTTTTATACAGGTAATTAAACATTGGATATACTGTAGGACAAATAAATTGGTAAAGCAGCCTCATAATGAAAAGGAAGTAAATTTCTTTAAAAAGGTTCACGAGGTTTGGGCGGAAAAAATAAAGCTTTTGCTTTGTCTAATTTGCAATAGACAAGACGTAGTTTAACGTGTAATGAAATACAACAGGAAGTTAGGGGCCATGCCCTGAATTCGACGCAAGACTTGACAGTGGCAGATTACAATTTANTCGACGCAAGACTTGACAGTGGCAGATAACAATTTATGTCAAAAATGGGAGTATTTATTGGTGATTTTCCTGTAATATAGATAGAGATCATCTCTAGTATTTATAAATAAGAATTTTCCTCTAATATAGATAGAGATCATCTCTAGTATTTATAAGTTTATGTTCTTTTTGACATCTTTAAAAAAACTAATTTCTATTTGCAAAATGTAAATTTTTAACTTTTGAAATTATATGTTCTTGCCTTACCATTTTTCCATAATTCTTTGTAGTTTATAAATAAGAATTTTGCACTTAAAATTTCAATAGAAACTATGTGGTTTCAAAAATAAAAACGTGTTTACAACTTATTCGTTTGAAATTATATACGATGAGATTTCAACTTTTTAAAAAAAAACAAAAAACTAAGGGCATGTTTGGTTAAGCTTAAAATTCAATTAAAATTGAAAATATAGCCGTTATTTGATCTCACTCGTCTAATTAATTGCATCAGAAATAACAAATGTGTGTTGGGGGACAGCTTGTCAAAAATGGTAGGTTTACAGCGTGTTCAGAAAGTTTTTATAAGTGATTTAAATTATAAATAAATAAAAATAAATGATAGATAAGCCTTCGATATTTGTAAATTCCTCGAATTATATAGATTGAAAGTGATTTGAGCATTATAAATGATTCATAAACATGAGTCAAAAGCTTTAGTAATGCTAAGCAGACACGTGTGAGGAAGATGTCAAATGTAGTTGATTTTCATGTGTTTTCAGACCAAAACTTATGAAATAATTGACCTAAATATCTCACCTAATAAAGCAAGTGATGGCATTGTCCTGTCATTTCCATCATGTTATGCAGATGTAGTAGGTGTGTGTAAAATAATCAAGTGGAAGATTAGAGATAAGAACCCTGACGTTTAAGATAATGTGGTTTTGTGTTGTTAACCTTTAAAAATGAGGTTTAGGTCCCCCATCTATTTAAAAATGTCAGTTTGGATGCTGACATGACAGAAATCATCACACAACTATCCCGATATCAAAAATTAAGAGAGTGCTTGGCAGAGATTAAAATCGGTTTAAAATTGAAATATGACAGAAATCATCACACAACTTTTACGATTTCATAAATTAAGAGAGTGCTTGACAGAGATTAAAATCGGATTAAAATTGAAAAACTAACCGTTATTGTTAACTTTTATTAGATGAGTGGGACTCGATAACGGTTATATTTTCAATTTTAATTGAATTTTGAGCCGTACCAAACAGGTCCTAAGTTTGACATTTTTGCACTTCAACTTTGTGAAATCACGACGATGTTAAGAATTCAAAACTATTTGAAAAGTTAAATAGTTGACCTTAATTTTCCCCGTATCAATGGTTTACAACGTGAGGTCGGGTTATGTTACATGTACATAACAATTTATATAATGATTTATCAACAAATGATGAGACGAAATTTAATGTGATCAAAATCTCATCAATTAAATAACATTTCCACTTACATTTTGACACATCATCATTATGTAAAACATCATATAAATAGTTATATACGATAAGCATTTTTCATTGGGGTCATGTTGAATACGTAAATACTTTTAAGTCATTCTTCCTTTTTTATATCGATCTTAATTGGTGTCTCATCCTAAACCACAAGTCATCCATTATGCTCGTACTTCTCGACGTAATAACTGACTAACTATTGCATTATGTGCACTATTTTTTCTCAAATATTACAATAGCCATTTTTCGTTAATTGTTTTGCACAATAAAGTTCTATCTAGAAGTGTGTTTACTTTTCATTGATATGACGATGTGCGGCATGCCACGAGCTAACAATAAACTCAAGTAACTTGCATGACAAAATATTGGTCTTTTCACTTGAGCCCCCGTTCTATCCAGTCACAAAGTAAACTTAGAAAAACAAAGAGCATGAACAAGTCTGCCTTGTTTCACTATCGAGAACCAACATGTTGGCTAAGTCTTTACCGATAACTAGTGAGACGCAGGTGTTATCAGTGTAGTTGGCTACTTAATAGCGTGGTTGTGAAAGATTAATGAAACCAATATCAATGAAGTACCGGAAAATAGATTGCATCTACATGTGAGACAACATTACACTTAAAACCTTATTTTCATCATCAAAATGTATCATGTTTATGATGTGAACATTGCTTGCAAACAGAAAACCATGGAACACGTACCATAGTATAGTTGGTTATATGATAGCGTAAATATAAAAAAAAAAAAAATTAATTTTATACATTAGTTACATTAAACTTAAAACACTTGAAATGATAATAGGCGATAAAAATAATATTAAGAGATTTGATTCAAAACTTATGTTTTAGACTTTGTGTTTGAAGGTCACTCTGTTCTATTTAAAAAAGGACAGAGCATAGATGATTAGGTGTTAATGCATTGCTAAAGAGATTCAACCTAGCCCTCCCTTTTCTACCTATTGAGGTAAGACATTATGGCTCCTTCATCTTGTGCTCATAAAATATCCAATTAAATGTATCAGTTGTACCAGTATTTAATTTCTTTACCAAGACCTATGCAAGACGTATGTAGTCAAGACTAATTAATTAATGATAATGCAATGCAGAATTTAGGACAAATCAAATGTCTCTATCAGTATAAAATCACAACACAACGAAAACTTCCATCATAGAGGCAAAAAGAATGACAAACGATCACATAACTTCATAAATTCCGTCGAATATCTTTTCAGCATGTGTAAAGTATTGGTTGTGTGGGAAAGTGGAATACAGAGCATGAGTGATTGTGTGGGAAAATGAAATTTTGTGAGAGAGGAGAAAGAGAAATCAAAATGATGGTTGCGTGTGAAAATGAACATAAACAATCACGACTTTACATTTCATAATTCGTGTAAAATTATTTTTGATATTTAAAATTTATCGATCATATATTTATTTTAGCCGTATTTCAATATTTCAAAGGAAAATTGAAAAGCATGATTTTATGTTTAATAATTCATGCAAGATACTTTTTGTTATTTAAACTTTATCAATAATATATTTATTATGATCGCCCTTTAAACTGTTGAATAAATTTTAAATATCTGAAAATGAACATTTGTAGTGTAAAACATCAAACCAAACATAAAAATTGAAGAAAAATGAAATTGAAATAAATTGGTGTGAGTATGGGGGTTGAGGGTGGGGTAAAAAAGATAAATTAACGATTATGATTTTATGTTTAATAATTTAAGATAATTTTTATATTTAAACTTAATCGACAATATATTTATTATTATCAAATTTTAAGTTTTTTTTTTAAAAAAAATTGAAATCGATCCAAATAGATATTCATATCGTGAAAAAAACAAAAAAAAAAGGGCACAGCCGAGCCATAAAGTTCGAAAAAAGGACGCTGGAATGAGATTGGGATTAAAAAGAAACATAAACAATCACGATTTTACGTTTCACAATTCATGTAAAATTATTTTGATATTTAAAATTTATCGATCATATATTTATCATGGCGTCACTTCAATATTTTAAATCGCTTAAAACGAATATTTATAACTTAAAATATTGAATCAAGCGTTTAAAATTTATCGATCATATATTTATCATGGTAGCACTTCAACATTTCCAACAAATTTTAAATAACTTAAAACGAATATTTGAAACTTAAAATACTGAATCAAACGTGAAAAAAAAACCCTCGACTTAGCCTAGCCTAGCCTAGCCTAGCCTAGCCGAGCCGAGCCATAAAGCCATTTGGCTTGGCTCGGCTTATGAATAGTATCACCAAACTTCCTCTTTTATTTATATAGGATAAAATTTATCGATCATATATTTATCATGACATCACTTTAACATTTCCAACAAATTTTAAATCGCTTAAAACGAATATTTGTATTTTAAAATATTGAATCAAACGTTTAAAATTTATCGATTATATATTTATCATGGCAACACTTCAACATTTCCAACAAATTTTAAATCGTTTAAAACAAATATTTGTAACTTAAAATATTGAATCAAACGTGAAAAAAAAAAAAAAAAGTCTTAGCCTAGCCTAGCCGAGCCATAAAGCCATTTGGCTCGGCTCGACTTATGAACAGTACCACCAAACTCCTGTTTTATTTATGTAGGATAGGATACCCATGAAATCATACTTGAGGGCCATTACTGTTCCAATAAAAGACAGATTGGGTACCACAATTATGAACATAATACCAAAAGAATGATGCATTAGTAGGTGAACGCCTACAGAAATTATAGAAAGAAATTCATTAATATTAACCAAAAAGATCTTGGACATCCTCTGCTTGCACCAATGATAGCACCCATTACAAGATCAAGTTTTTCCTGCCTATCCCAGCCCACGAAACTTTTTGCAACTCACTACTTTGATATCTATACTTAAATCTCAACATTTACAAAAGTTTGAAGAGAAATTAGTCGCTCAAGCCTTCAACCTCAGCTCGCAAAGTGAATGTAGGCATTGTCATCTGTTGGGAAACTACATCTTTCGTCCCTCTTGTGAATGGGTTTGGTGTCCCAAACCGGAATTGATCGTTTTCATTGTTCTGTTCAAAACTATTCATGGACGTGGGCGGACCTTCAGGTACTCTTTGGCGACTTGCACTTTCTGATAACCTTCCAGCATTCTCAATACCACTTCTAATCCAGGCAAAATTGTTCAAGTCCATGACTACGGCACTCAACTCCTGACTTGGAAAGGGGGAGATTTCTTCATATTCCACAAATTCTGGCCCCAACAATGAGCTCATAGAAGAAGCACAACAACCATGGCCACAATGCTGAGGGATTATGGACTCACCACTCGCACCATCAAGAAATTTGCAGATTCCAAAATCTGGTTTGGATGCTCGGATCAAAGGTCCCTGCATTGGTATTGTCCTTGAAAATGCAGAGTTGTGGCTAGGATTGTAAACATTGAAAGCACCTACTTTTGCCACTGGACAAGAAATCATGGGATTATTTTCTTCAGCAGAGGTATAAACCACAGGACAATTTTCTTCAGCTGAGGGATAAACCATGGGAAGATTTTTTCCAGCAGAGGGATCAATTGTTACTGAATCAGAGGATAGATATTGTTTGGGAGCACAGCAGTTTCCAGTAGCTTGAACTTCATCTTCAGACTGCCTAGGTTGATTTGACACCATTCTCATATCCAATCCCTCTTGAGGACTTGAATAATTTCATATCACCACCTGACAAGGTTTCCTCTGAGGATGCAGGTTTCAAGCCGCTAATATTCACACACTTGCGCCTTAGTGTAGAATTCCAATGGTTTTTAATTCCATTGTCTGTTCTACCTTCGAGAAGTTTTGCAATTGACGCCCATTTATTTCCATGAACTGCATGGGCTGCTAAAATTATATGATCTTCTTCATCCGCAGAAGATAAGCTTAATAAGACTTCATAGGAATACCATATCATAATCATCATTTAGAATCTTCTGTAAGGACAAAATTTTGAATAGGAACCGTTACAAGACTTACAAAAACTACACACTTATTTTTGATTTTGATTTATATTCTTACTCTGCTACTAGTTCAAAGTTAAGAAATAATTTCATTTTAGGTAGGAGTTTTAAGCATGAACACATTTCTTAATAATGGTGAATTCGATTCACGATCTAGAATGATATTGAGATTACTCTCTGATTGTCTCCGTGTCTCTCTCTTAATTCTTCTTCTCTATTCTCTTTCTTGCTATCGTTCTCTTTCAAGTTATATATCAATAAATGATTTTGATTTATATTCTTACTCTACCACTTGTTCAAAGTTAAGAAATAATTTCGTTTTAGGTAGGAGTTTTAAGCATGAACACATTTCTTAATAATGTGGAATTCGATTCACAATCTAGAATGATATTGAGATTACTCTCTGATTGTCTCCGTGTCTCTCTCTTAATTCTTCTTCTCTATTCTCTTTCTTGCTATCGTTCTCTTTCAAGTTATATATCAATAAATGATTTTTTGTCTCTGCAGTTTTAGCTCTTGAACTAATGAATAATGAAGCAAGCTCAACCTTTTGTGGAGCATCCACTTATCCAGCCATGTGGGAAACACAAAAAATTGGACTCTCAAATAAGAGGAAGATAAAACATAATGGGGATGCCAAGTCCTAACATTCAAATGGTCATGCGGGACAAATGGCTCTTAAGGATTGCTAGGTCAATTTTTTTTATCATCTTTATATGTTCAACGAGAAAATTAAACTAAATCTTATTCTCAATAAATTTAGGGTTGACTACGTGAGTCATTTTTTGCCATTCAAATCTTGTTCTTGCTAGATTTATGTAGATATCTAAAACAACTAGATCCTTGTTCATTTTGGAATACCTTCCTGTCTTTTGACTTGCTCTACCAAAACTTCATCAATATTAAGAATGAGTCTTTTTTAAGTTGACACAAATTTGATACAATCATCTAAATCATCCTCCCCTTAATTTATCCTCGATACGTGCCATCGCCACTTCCACTTGTTGGTATATGTTCTCATTTCACCTTATGTATTGTAGTATGACCAGACACCCATCTTAGCATCCCAATTTCCATTACATTCAACTTACGGACATCTTGGTCTTTAAGAGACCAACACTTAAAACTATAAAGCTTAGTCAGTCTAAAATTGTAATTGCTAAACCCTAATGGCATCTTTATGTGATCTAACATTAAGAAATGTTCACGTGACACAATGAAATAAGTTGCCCGGTTCATTTTGGGGAGTGCTTTAAATTTATTATAGACACTAAGAAAGGAACAACAAGCACAAGAAAACCAAAAGTTTTGGCTAAACAATGATGCTACAGATATTTCATTAACAAATATAAACAATCTCTTAACAAGACTCAACATTCTCATCTAAAATGAGTTAGCAACATATGCAATCATTGTTCTAATATGTTGAACAGATATTAGATATATTAAAAAGGACTAACGAGAGAGAAAACAGAAGTATCCATTGTGTACATCATTTATTGGTATGGATTAACCGCCATCCACCATATACAAAATTTATCTGAATGTGACTATTCTCATTCAAGTCACATAATGGATAGTATAACGGATTTAATGAACCATCAAAAGAATTAGCTTTGGAGAACCTAGACAAGATTAAAACCATGCAAGATTTTAGTAGCCACATAATTCACCTAGCCCTTTAAAATTACTTATGCGCAACACCAAACAAATTATTGTTACTAAACTTAGGTACATACACCTTTATTTGCTAAGAAATGCCAAATGTACAAGATATAACACTCATGAGAACATCTTCGATTATTTATAGTGTCACAGGAACTAACAGAAGGAGCTAGCTGACATATCAAATACTACGTAAATGTTTTGGAGACGTTGATTGTAAGCTATGTGAACTTGCCCCAGTAGAGAAAATGGTAAATATACAAATTGATTAGCCTCAACTATTTTTGCATTCAGATCAAAATTAATGACCAAGTGAAGTACAAATCAGGATCTTATTAGGATTTGGACTCAGGAACCATGTCTCCCAGTATTAATTATTTAGTTCATAAGGAAACTATCAAGAGAAGTAAGCATAGAGAATTACAATAAGCGCCAAAAACATTATCCATGAGAAGAAAAACAAGGACATCCCTCGCAGAATATGAGTTTGAAACAGATTTATTCAGCAGATTCAAACATTTAAAATAGCCTAGAAGGGCAAGTTGAAATTGACCAATTTAAATAGGTCTAGTCCATGATATAAAGGGAATTATCATTGGTATTGTTCGAGAGATTGAACGAACATGAAAAGATGATCGTGGCCAAAAATATGCCGTCAACACAACCTCTGCACTTATTAAAGCTGTCTTGATAAGGCTTCCTAAATGAACATTTGAATTTTCAATCTTTGCAAATATATATCGACAAAACCCAAATCATTGTCCAAGGGGTAAGTTCATCAGGGGAACCTCCTGTTTTAAGCGACCTAACATTCTGCCTAGCATTCTGCACAACTAATGTTTTGAGAACACAAATTATTCCCCTATCCCTTTCTAAAATATTTTCCAGCAAATTAGGAAAACCTAAAGCCTACATAAATCTAACAAAATTCACAAAATCAAATAATAGAAGATACATATTCCATTCATGTCATATCAAAACTTCATCCCAAGCAGAAGAACGACTCATAGAATTCCTCAAAAACATTGCTTGTGAAATCTAAATGGAAACCCACTACATACTGTCGGAAATTTCAGTCACATTCCAGTTCCATGAGTTTCACTGGTCCAAGCATTGTCATAAGATCAAACCAAACTTATACAGCTATCAAAAAGAAACATAATCGCAGGCCAGCAGCCTACTTTCTACCAAAAAGTGAAGTCTGCCTAAATCAAGTAAAATAATCTGCCTAATTTGTCCTTTCCCATATTTATCATCAACTGGTTCAACCTCCACTGTTTGGAATATATTCTCAGTTCTTATCTATTTATATGGTCCTAGACATACTTATTTCTGCAATGAAAAGAAAAGATATCTTTTAACTGCGCCAAGGCTACTAAAATAAATAAGAATGTTGTTTTAGATGCATCTACCATCATCAATAGATCCTCAATCAAAATGCAACCAAGATATTATCGTCAATGATGCTAAATTTTTTGAAAGAATTAATTCAAGAAACCTTTACAGAAAAGCTTATAAAATTGCATAACTAATTATGAATTTAAGTTCAACTCCATTCATCTCCTGCAAGATTTGATCATGCAATAGAGATTCCAAATTTCAACATATCTTGACGTTCACAATCTTTCAACTTCCCCTAAATTTGGATCAAGCATGTCTTACCTCAGATCAGAAAAAGCCAAGTTCACATTCCTAGAAAGCCAAGGTTGAGCTGCTTTAATTTACAATTAAATGAAACTTCAGACCTAGGCAAGTGAATCCTAATCATTTTTTTTTATTTGCTAAACACGCTCCGCAAGCAGCTATTAATGATAAAATGTTGTGCTCAAATACTGTACGTACTGCAGTACTTCTAGTCAAATTAGTATGAACTGGAAAAAAGGCTAGAATGTAATCCTCAAAGACTCCCACACAACACCACCAACATAGAGTGTGTACATTGGCATTATTTACACGCCAGATGCAGGCTAATGCTAAAACAGAAACTTTAAATAATAAGTGCTTGTCAGGAGAGAAATTATAAGCCAAATTCCACCCGTTATTTTCCTGTACGTGGGCCCTACCTGTGAGATGCATGGTCCAAAATTGCGGCTCAACGGTCAATTTATAGATTAAAATTCAGCTTTAAAGCTGGGGCAGACAGGCTATAAATGTCCCTCAAATCTCATTGCAAGCCTAACCGATGAACCATTCAACAACGGATGGAAAACGTTGTGTTTGTGGGTTTCAACCGTGTCTTCTTAAACATGAGAAAATAAAAGCAGCATAAACCTTAAAATACGAAAATTATTTAGAAACTGAAGCTAGACTAAGGCATTATAAATGTTAAATTGCATCAAAACACACCAAAGCACTGAAACAACCCAAAAAATATACCACTTCTCAACTCCCAAAGACAACACCAAAAAAGCCAAAAGAAAAAGAGACCAACAAATTCATGTCTTCATTTGTCTATCTAAATATACTAACAGATATGCAATTACATCAAAATTACCAGTAAAAGGTTTGCGCTTGACGCTAGGGTCGAACTGATTACACCAGCAGAGGCGGCACGACTTCCCAGACCGACCAGGCATTCCCCTTGCAATCATGCTCCAATTCCTCGCCCCGAACTACTCACCAGCCGGCTTAAAATCACATCCTCCTCCGGCGACCATGGCCCCCGAACCCTTCCCATTCCTCCGCCACCAGTAATCTCCCGTTCTTCTCCTCCGTCATCCACCGATATTACATCAACAGCGATACCCTCCACCGTCGGGTCAACGATTTTTTCTGACTCGCTTGGATGCTGCTCCGTCTCCCCTTCCATTTCTTGCACTCTTTTTTTTCGAGTAAATTTAATCAATCATCATCGAACTTTAAATATGTTATTACTTACTCACTTATCTTTAATGAGTTACCCAATACTCACTCATCTTTTCATATAATTACTCATCCATCATCCCTTAACTAACATTTTCAAATTGTGGATGAAAAATCCCACGTGGCAAATGACAATCCTACGTGGTATGTTAACCATGTCCATGTCATCAAAAATGCTCCCACCAAACACGCATCTCTTCCTCAAATCAAAATTCTAAAATTAGAATCCCCAATTGGAAGCCCTAATTTCAAACCCCCAAATCAGAAATTCCAATTAACAAGGCAACCCTCACCTTAACGGGTGTAAATACACATTCTCTCGTTGCTATTACCCTCCTCCTCGAAATTTTAAACAAACCCATAAATTTTCCCTTTCGATTTTGGCTTTTTCTCTAACGGGTTTTTGTCAAATTTATTTTTGTTTGGGGTTAGAGTTTAATTAAGCAAGAAAGCCTCAGAGATGCAGCAACCATGGCAAATGTTTCTAGTTACGCCTTCATTTCCTCCTACTAACATCACGACTGAGCAGATTCAAAAGTACCTTGATGAGAACAAGAAGTTGATATTGGCGATTTTGGACAATCAGAATCTTGGAAAACTTGCCGAACTTGCCTCCGCTCGCCGGTCCCTTTGCCGGTCACTTTTTTTTTTTTTTTGAGTAATGTTATTCATCCCCAATGGGGATGAATACACAGTCTATGTGGCATTAAATGATAGTTTAAATGAAAGGTAAAATTAAATGACTTATTTAATTTCACCTATCATTTAATGTCACATTAGAGCCATATAGACTGTTTTTTCATCCTGACTGGGGATGAATAGCATTACTCTTTTTTTTTTTTTTAATGTCCACTAGCAAACAAATCACGCCACAACAAAGTAATAAAAAAATTTACGTTCTTGCTCTCTCTTGTTCATCCTCGCATCTTCCATACAATATATTCAGAGGAGAAATGAGGAGAGATGTCGTGTAATGGGTTGAAGAGAAATTCCAAGCTGTAAAGATTTAACGGGTAGATTTGCCAAGTATGATTTCTGTTTGCCACCTGTATTTTTCCATGCATTTGGAGAGATGAAAGTTAAATGAGTGATGGATGAATATCGAGTAACCCAATAAAGAAGAGTAAGTAAGTAGTAATAATATTAAAGCTTACCGATGGGTGATTAAATTTACTAGTTTTTTTTCTATTATGTGAATAATTATGCGATGCAAACTGCAAAATGCATTGAAAGTTGTATAGTATTTGATTTGGATAATAAATTCAAACACGATACATGCGATATAATATTTTAAACTCCAAAGGAAAATATTCACGGTCTTTCCACTGGATAAATAATTCACTATAAAAAAAAAGGATATAATCGTCTCGTATTTTGGGTATTACAATTATTTCTTGATCAGAACTCCAATTATAAAATCAAAACAAAAATCAAAAGCAACTAATTTCCTCGTTTTAGCTCTCTTGATTTGTTGAGAAATAGAACCAAGCATACGATCTTTGATCTTCCATCACTTCTAAGTTCGAACCCCAATTGCTCTGCAAATCACAATCAATCAAGCTACGCGAACATCATGTTAAAATAAAGCTTAATATATAGTGTCACATGATATTCTATCATTGAACAGTTTACAATACAGTCACCTATTCCATTTAATCATTTATTGTCACAAACAATTATGTCAAGTTTACTGTCAAATCAATCTGGCAAAGTTTGTTTTATCCAATCACAATAATCTGTGTTTGACTCCGAAAAGGCGAAACCTCTTGGTCATTATACAAACCAGACCGAATATCGAATCAAAATTTACTCTTTCACTCTCTTTATCAATACCAACTCGCTCCTCCATTTCGTAGTTTGACTCCACCAACCCATCTTCTAGTTCATCTTTTCTTTCCTCTGCATCCTGTACATTGTTCCCTTGGTCATCATCTTCCATTTTATATTCAACCATGTTATCTCGTAAATTACCTGCTCTGGCATCAAATGTTGGGGTTTCCTCAAATTGTGACCACATCTCCTCTATAGTTAGTCTTTACACATTGATACTCGTCCCAATCAACATCTCTTTTATCCATCGTGACTACAATCACATATAGGGACATAGCACCATCGTTGGCATGTTCACCCTTCCCACTCTCCTCATCGGGCACACTAATCCCAGGATCATCAAACATCGGTTTTTCAACCGCTTCCTTTGGCAGTGCTTGTGGTGTTTTATGTTCTACATAAATATCTCCATCAACATTTGACCATTTATGTCCCTCAGCAAATTCTTGGCATTTTCCTTCTTCAATCTGACGAACCATTTCCCAAATTACTTTTTCTGCTTTCTATAATAGAATTCCAAGATCAAATCAGCTCCAAATGCAACAGAAAAAGTATGTAACATCTCTCTTGTGAAGTATTAAGGCTTCAAGTAGTCCATGAACATTACTGAAACGTGTTCATATGCCACATTGCTGGCTTATCAAAAAAAATTGTCCCCACTATGAATTTCCATCGTAAAATAATTTGTATGTTCATCTACATGTGCATAAAAACATATTTTAATTAAACCTTTAATTAAACATATGACATAAAGAAAGATTACAAATAATCAGTAGTCCACACTATAAATTCAGTCCCAGACCAGTAGAAGATTATTCACTTAACAAAACCCTCAACATCCAATTCAATGCAGATGATGGAAAAAAGGAAATTTTTTTGGAGCAATCAACATGCAATACTGTAAGCAATCGTTTTAAACCCACTGTGAATAAAGAAATCTCAAACTTACCTACACGAGTAATCTTGAGTATAGCAGTGTGTCGTGTCACGGATCACTTAAATCCACTTGACACATGAGTGTGTGTCTTGAGCACTTTGAAATGATTGTGTTAGTTGATGTGAATTATGGACCACGGATTAAATTGGATTTAATCTTATGGTCAATTACCATACTGGCCATATCTCTTTTATAGTCCAATATTTGCATTTGAATTTGAATTCAAATGGTTCTTCTGACTCTAATTATAAGACTTGTTCACTTGTTTCACTTGAACTCGTCATAACAAAACAGAGAAATCATAGAAAGATAACCAAGTGAGAGAAGTTCATATTTCATATTTCCGGCGAAATTCTTGGTGGCTTCCGACGGATTCATTTCTCGGTATATCCATTGTCATTTCCATGGACGACGGTGCATGATCCGGTGTGGCAAAAATATGGGCTCAACATCATATGACACTCCATTAGTGATGTTGAAGAAGCTTTGAGTCTATTGGTTTGGTTTTACACTTTGAGAGTTTATGTTTTCCTCATTATAGTTGTAATAATTATTTGTTCACTACATTTTAAACTCTACACTTTACGTTAAGAATGAAGCAAAATTTCGGATTTCTTGGTCTGGATTTGGGGTTTTCAGTTGAAATAATTATTCATCTAAGACCTTGGCCATTTTAAGGAAAGTGACATGCATGTGACAAGTTAATAAAGGCATTTGATAGAATTGGATGACATGGACTATTTGCAAAGCATTTGTTTGATATGGGGTGAAATGTGTAAAATAAAATAGTAATGATATTTATCACCACAACAATAAATCATCGCAACGCATTATTCCTCACAATTCTCTCTCTCATATAAATTGAATTGTCTAATTCATTTATTTCACATATACTGTCACATCATTGATAATTTATCATCATGATAATAAATAACATTATTAAGAATAAAAAAGTGGAAGATTTGCGAAAAAAATGGAAATGATATGGACATTTCATTCTAATTACCAATTTGAGACTCGTACTGTTGGGGGTACCCTTGCCTCTCCGGACCTTAAGCCAGAGCAAAAATGACCCAGCATTTATGTAGCCCATCCCAATTAAACCCCGTTATCCCATCGCCCAAGGCCCAAGGAAAATATCCAATTCCCATTTCTCAAAGCCCCAAATGAAACGCAATTTTCCAAGAGGAAATTACACCAAGTCGTATGTTTTAAAATCCAATTTCAAAAATAAGATTCAAAGTTTGTTTATTCAAAAATCAGGTTATAATTAAAAATTAATATTAATAATTATATTACAAAATCAATTAATCATTTACCTATTTTTTTTACTTTCTCTCTCAACCCACCGTATCTTCTCTCTATCCCTTCCTCTATCTCTTTTACTCCGACGAAAGGGGACTCCGACATATGAGCGCAGTCGTCGCCTTCTCGTAGCAGCAGCACGATACTTCTGCCCAAGGATGGGGCAGCTCTGCTTAGCGCGCCGCCTCACCGCCTTGCCGCGACTACGCTCTACGCGATCCAGATTTGTATTTTTTTAGTGGTACAACGGAGTTTTACGGTGCTGCTGTGTTGTTGTGGGTATGGTTGCGGTGTGATGGTTAGGTGTGTGTGCGTGTGGCGACGGTGGTCGTGGTTATGTTTGTGCTGTGGTCGGTAGATCTGAACCGCCTTGATCTTTTATTGGGATGGGTGGTGGGCTGCCAGTCATTGTCGGGATTCGCATCGTCGCGATTTGGTGTGGGATTTTTAGGCTGTGTTTTCAGTCGTGGATGGGGGTTGTGGTGGTGGTGGTGTTTGGGTAGCGGCGATTATGTTAGATCTGGCGATGGACTAGGCAAGCGGCTTTGCAGTAAGGGTGGTGGTGGGACGGTGCTGGTGGTGTTGACGGTTATGACGTTGGCTGCGATGTTTTTAAACTAGTGATTTTGTTGTTGGGAAGTAGTGGTGTTGGTGTTGGCGGCGGTGGTGTTGGTGTTGGGGTGATGGTTGTTGCGACAGTGGTGTTGGTACTGGTTGCAGTGAGGTGGTGGCGGGGACGGCGACGGCGACGGTAGTGGTTATTGTTGGTGGTATGTGACCAAGTATTTAGTTATCCGTAACCAAAAAAATATTAATTGTGACCTAAAAATTATTAATTGTGATCAATAAATTGATAAATTGTGATCTAAATAAGTATTGTGACTTATAAATTTTGGGATGTGTGACCGATGAACAAATGTGACTTTTAGATTTCTAAATTATGACCAATAAACAAATTGTAACCTATGAAAATTTTGAATTGTGACCTAAAAATTTTTGAATTGTGATCAAATTGTATAAATCTGTGACCTTAACATATTCGTCGGAATCGGATCAGTCGTCGAAAAAGTCGCTGGAACGGTTGCCAGAGAAGAATAGTGATCGGAACGGTCGTTGGAATAGCCTCGGAGTTGTAGGGGTGGTGGAGGTGAAGGTGGGGGTGGGTTAATTATTTTATAGTAGAATTAAATATTAATAATAAATTTATTTAATAATTAAAAATTCAAAGAAACTGATTTTTGAAATTTAAAACATGTTTTTGTATTTTTGAAAACAACTTATTTACGTATTCTTCCCATTTTCCAACTCTCAGTCCGTCAACGAGGATCTCCCCCACTCTCCCGAATTTTGCAGACGATACGGACGCACAACAGACTCCGATCGGTAATCTCCACTCCAAACTTAATTCGCCATCGCCAATTTATAAATGCGGCTCTGCCTCCTTGCTCCAGCCGAGCATTTGAGGCTGGTGAATGGTTCTTGTTCTTGTTCATATTTTTTTCTGATTTCAGATTTTTTTTTTTGAAGTATGGATGATTGAATGTTTAATTTTTTTTTCTTTCTAACCCTTAAATAACCGCCTAATTAATCTAAATTAAGGTAAAAAGATAATATTTTATTTTTCTTAATAGATACATGATCTCTATTTATTTTTTGGAGTTGAATGAATCAGATAAGTATCTTCTTTATTTTGTTACTTTTTTTCCCCTTCTGACAATCAAGTTTTAGAGTGTGTTTGGTAAAGATTTTTGGGGAAGAATTGATTTTTGAATAGTGATATGATGGGAAATGTGTGGTTGAAAAAGAAGAAAAAAGTATTGATGTGATGGAAAATATTATTTTATTGAAGAATGTGTGGTTGAAAATGAGAATTGATTTACTGTAGAAAATGAAAATTTTTACCAAACATGCTCTTAGAAAGTTGACTATCTACATTCTCATTGTTGGTTTTACTAACCAGATTTGTAATAAATGAAAGGGATATTTATCTTTTCTAGAATTTAGAATCTTTGTTTTCTGAACTTAAGTGGTGGTAGAGAACTTGGAGGCAAATTGATACTTTTGCTATGCTGCTACTTTATATTGATCTTAATTTTAACCTTTCATTTATTTTTTTGGTAGTGGTTAGTAGTGATTGAAGGAGTTCTCGCTTATAATTAAAGGAGATTTTGCTTGTAACTTGTTGTTTCTCTTAATTTTGTTCGAATATTGATCTCTTCAATTTTCAGCCCTTGGCATATTGTTCTTGGTCTGCCCTTGTATGGGATTTCATAACATTTTACTTCTTTCTCTAAAGATTACGAAGTTTTATTTTATTTTACTAGATTTGAATAATTATCAAAAACCTCTATCCTTTTCTGCTAGTGTAATAGTTCAGATGCAAAATTGCGATTGACTAGTTTGTTTCCTTTTTATGGCGATTAATTAAGTTTTATTGAATATTTTTTGTGAACAGGGGATTATATTTTTCCTCTCTCGTGAATTAGAGGTGAAACAATGACAAAGGTTAGAGACAGAACTGAAGATTTTAAAGATTCAGTTCACCGGGCTGCATTGAATTTGGGATATAATGAGGTTCCTTTCCAATCTCATTGAATTTATTTTTCAATCAAGATGATATTGCAAGAGCTTCCCATTATTTACATTGAATGCATATGCTTAATTTTGGTATAATGGCTGATAATTCCACTTAAATCTCTGAGCTCTGTATATTTCTGGCAGTCCAAAACAGCAACAATAATGGCATCTTTTATCCTCCACAAAACACGTGAAAGGTCTCCTTTCACCAAAGCAGCCCTGAAGACGGTATCTATTTTGATGGCCTATATGTATCTTGCTATTCCATATTAGTTACAATTATGCTGATGATAGCAAAAAAGTTCAAAAAATATTCAGATATAAACTTCTATTATATTCATCTGCCAGCTCGAAAGCATTTGTGCTCTGGAGCAGTTCTTGATGACACATAAGAAGGATTATTTGGATCTCCGTCGTACCACTGAACAAGAGAGAGATAGCATAGAGCATGAAGTAAGGATTTGAATTTTTTTTTTTTTTGCATTTGTCTAAATTGAGGGAGCATTCATAATGAGTTTGCTTTTAACTAATTCCCTGTAAAATTGATGTATGCTTTTGTTAAGTTCTCTGTCATGAGGATGTCTGATGAATTACAAGTATCACAGAAATTATTGTGCTTATTATTGCTCAAGATACCTTCTTTTCTATCCTTAGTGTAAAAGGGATATGTAAATGTGAATATAGCAAGTTAGCAACTATTGTAATTTTCTTGAGTGGCTTGAATTCACTTGTGCATATACGGTATACGCAGAGTAGAGTAATTTTCAGATGCAAAGTAATTGCATGATGGACAGCATAGAATGATATACAATTTTCCAGTGAGACTGAAAATTATTGATTTTTATCGATCTTTTTTCTTATCAAACTTTAAAGCATTGTATTAAACAAATCAAATACATAATATAAGGCATAACAAGTAATATTTCCCTTTAAAAAGTAGAAATGCTTCATGGTATATAAATTAAATATGTTTAATTTTGCTAGGATAAAATCACCATTGAGAGTTTGAAAATTGTCTAGGAGATATCTCCCCCCCCCCCGTGAAATAAAATGTAGTGGAGAAGACCTGCCTCCAATAAATTAGTAGAGTAAAATCTCATAGTTATAAGTTATTAATTTTCGACTTTTGGATGCTTGATACAATTTACTTTCAAATATCTTTTTGTACTTGATAATATTTTGACCATCTTGTTATCTATATTTACTTAGTGATATGTTCTCCATCTCAACTTGATGGAGCCGAAATCTACCCCTTGTTGAATCCTATATTTTCTTTCCTGAATTTTAATTAATTAGGTGTTAGGATTTTCTTTGTCTTAGAATTACTATTTAAACACTTCATAAGTTTCATTATATTTGGATTTTGATTATTAACATTAATGAAGTTGTGAGAGTTTTTTCCAATTCTTGGTTGCTTTTCGGCTATGAAAAACGACACGAACACGTTAACACACAATTTTTCAAAAAATTACTGACACGACACGACACGTCACTCATTAATTAAATTTTTTATTGATATAGTATAAATTTAGTTTTATACTTGTTATTCATTTTTTTTTTTGTCGAAATCTTGTAAATATGAGTACTTTGTTATGTAATAATAACTTTAAATTGAAAATATATAATATTCCTGATAAAGAAAATATGACCATGGTAGAGTCGGACACGGAAACACTACCCTAGTTGAATTGTCTGTGCTACAGAGCTTTTCGGTATTCGTGCGCTAATCAATAAATAGTAATCCTGTGAAATTGTTCAATTTGTTCTTGCTCGCTTCTATCTGCGCCAGTTGTATAGAGTACAACCACGTTTTTAAAAGAGAATGGTTGATGTTTATGAAGTCCTATCGGATTGAGATTCAGTACGGGGAGAATATGACATAATCTAGAGGAATCAATCTGTGCATGCAATTAGATTTATACGTTGAAGGCCCGGGAATGAGTGTAGAAGGTTTGCATGAGGGAGGTAACTATTGGGATCAACATGACAGATTTGTGGGTGTGGGTTGTGTGAAACCAGTGTAGACACATCATGGAGAACTCAAACGAGCATGCCACTGCACCTGTTTTTAACATGGATGCTGACACAAAATTAAAGAGAGATACAAAAATTGAAAAACATATTGGGAGAATACCATTTTGGAATGAACATTAATACCGATGTTCTATTTGGTAAAATTTATTCTTGCGTGGTAAATTTTTAGAGGGGACCCCACTTTTGAATTTGGCATTTTCAAGGGATTCTTTAGTTTCACCAGCTGATTTGCTTATTTGTGTGATTTCTCATGGTTTTGGCTTTTTTATTAAATATCATGATACTTTCATTGGGGGCTATGAAATTTGGTATAATGAGGTGGTAAAAGACTCCACACATGGTTTTGGTTGGTGAGATTAATTATTTATCTGCATCGAGTAGACTTTGCCTAATCAGAAAAATATTTGTGGGTTTGCAAAACCTTTTCCATACTCTTTATGTTATATCAAAGCGTGAATTGGATGGGATTACAGATTCTTCCAATGACACGAATGCAGCTGAAATAGTATTCAAACAGATTGCCACCGTCATGAAACATGGGATGAAGGCACTTCGCAAGGTTCGAGGATGAATCTTCTCTAACCGGAGGAGAATGATGGAGCCGAAATCTAGTCTAGCTGAATCCAATAATTTCTTCTTTTTCTTTTCTTTCCTTTATCTTATTTAAACACTTTATAGGCTTGTTATAATCATTGGGATTTTGATTTTTAATATTAATGATTAACATTAATGAAATTGCTTTTCGGTATTCATGCGCAAATTAACGATTTGTAATCGTGTTATTGTTCTTTTTGCTTCTGTCTGCGTCACAACCTCTAAAGGAGCACGCATTGTATAATTAGTTGGTTCAAATATTTATTTGTACCTCTGTTTTTTTGTAGGTTACTGTATTCATCAACTCATGCAAAGAGCAAATAGATGTTCTCAAGAATAGTATAAATGATGAAGAATCAAATTCAAAAGGATGGCTTGGTATCAGGAGTGACAACTTGAATGCTGATACTATAGCACACAAACATGGAGTGGTATGAGTTTCATTAATTGTTTGATTTCATATGCTGCCTGGGTATTATCACGTCTGTTGTACATTTTTCAATTCCAAGTCTAGTTTTCTGAATGAATGCTCGTTCGCTTTATATTCAGTAAGAGAATTTTAAATGTAAACTTGACTGTTTCAGACTTGATATATCAAAAAGAGTAAAAGCCCCTGGATGTAAATCTCATTGCCGCAGTTTATCCAATTCGATAATCGCGATTTTATTCTCTACCATATCGGGAAGTGGATTCCAGTTTTAACTGTATTGCAGATATTTATACATCTGTTTGTCTTTTGATTGCCGTAGGGAAAGGAGTGTTGGTCATGATCATTTTTTAATTATCATCGAAAGTATATATATCTGTTTCAGTCTTGGTAATATTTTGTCAATGAAACAAGCAGCTAGAATAAAAATGTTGTTCAATATTGTTGTACAGGTATTGATTTTAAGCGAAAAGCTTCATTCAGTTACATCGAAGTTTGATCAGCTGAGAGCCATACGTTTCCAAGATGCTATTAACAAAGTTACGCCAAGAAGAAAACTGAAGAGTGGCATAAAAAATATTACAGAGTCTAGCAATTTGCAGTTCACCGAAGCAAACAATTCAAAGGTTGGGGAGGCTAATGATTTTCAAGCAGAGCCCATCGGAGTCCAGCAGCAAGTTCTAGATGATGAGACACGCTCTCTCCAGGTAATTAGTACTTTGGTTGATTTCTGTAAGATTCTACATACATGGAGCTTGAGAAAATGTTTGATTGTGGTTCACAAGAATGATGCTTTCTGCAACACNATTTGGTTTAATTTAATTCATATATTTGAAGATTTTCAATTATTTCCATATATTCTATTTTTGCTGTAATTCCATAGATTTAGGAGTAATATGATTTGTTTTCTAATAGTACTCCTTAAACTTAGGAAATCTTGCAAGTATATATACTTGCGTAACTTTTTTTTGTAATGCACAAAAATATAGAAAATTTTGTTCCTATTTTTCAAAATAAAAGTGAAAAATGGATGTTTAGTCTGTTCTTTTTGCCGTTTTCAAGCAGTTTTCTGTATTCGATTTTCCAAAACAGTGAAAACGTTCAGTTAAAATCAAGCCAAAATTTTAAAAACGCGTTTTGAGTGTTTTCGATTTTCAAAATGTCAAAAAGAACACATTTTCAACAATCTCAAAATGGACACTCAAAACACAAAACCCAAAATGAATTCAAAACTCAAAACACAAAGAGAACAACCCCTTAGCTACTCATCTTATTCTTCTTCTTTGCAGGGTCATATGAAAAGAAATCACTTCTTGGTTTTGGACCTTTTTGTGTAAAATAATGTTATTTATCATTATGATGATGGAATATCGGTGATATATCAATCTATATGGAATAATGGAATTGAGTGGTTCAATTTTTATGAGAGAGAGGGGGAGGAGAGAGAGAAATTTGAGGGATAATGGATTGCCACTTCACCAGTGTTCCATCATTATGATGATAAATATCATTACTCTTTGTCTAAACATGGAAACAACCTTTCATGGAGCTATGGAATAAGCAGATTATGCCTTGTAAATGCGTCTATCATTTGGGAGATTGTACCCAGAGAATAATAAAGCTCTGCTAAATGTTCCTAATGACTAATGCATATATGATAGAGCTTACTGGTGATGATGTAAAAGTGCATAATCTGGATTGTCTTCAAGTAGCTTTTTGTTAAGTACAAAAACATGTTCTTTTTTGGGTTTTTTTTCATTTGATTGTAATGATACGTAACCTTCAAAGCTATTTCTGTTTCATTTAACAGGCTGTTGAAGCAACAAAGAATGTACAGCTTGGTAACAAAGAGCTGTCCCAAGCCATTCAACGGAATAGCAGCAGCAGAACTTTTCTTTTACTTTTCCTATTTGTTCTTACCTTTTCAATTCTCTTTCTTGATTGGTATAATTGATTGGAAGATCGATTGTATATGCTGTCCAAAATTTTTAGTTGAGCGATCTGCAGTGCTACTAGCAATACCATATCATAGCAATAAGTACATGCAAACTATTTTCTAGAGCTTCTAAAATAACTTATCGATTCTTTAGTTCTTTTGCTGAAGAGATGATATCTTAATGTCAGTTTTATGTTACTACATATAATAATGTGAGGTGATTGCCTATTTATTTCAAAAGTAATTGACCAATTAAAACATCTGTCTGTGTTCTATGTGTTGTTTGACTACTATTCAGCTGAAGCATAAAGGCAAAAAATTGAATGGATAATGTAAAATCTGTTCATGTTGCATTTGCACCAGAAGTTGGTAGAATCATTATCTTCCGAGTTCTTTTTTCAATATTACACTTGACTTGAAACAGTCCTTCTTTGGCTAGAATCGATGACGGAAATTGATAAGATGTCTTTTCTTGCAAAAGTGTAGAAATTGTAGAAGGTTTGAAAATGGCACTATGAATATTGGATCTGCTTTGACTTCTCTTTATCTCTGTTTAATCTACCTACCATTTCAAGTTCTGGGACAAGGAGTCATGTAGAGTACGACAGCCTGAACTTGAACAATCTGTTCAGAGCATGAACATGAAGAAAGCTGTGCTGCAGTACCGTTCGTCCTGGTAAGCTGAGTTCTCTTGTTTTCTGTCATCTTTCCATGCACATTACTCTTACCTTCTCGATATTTGGCATGTGCAACCAGGGAAAGGATTTGCATAAAAGCCTTCCTCAAGTTTTGGAGAATCTCACACTAACCTGGGATGTGGTGCTCCAATCCTGTTCTCATGTAAGCGCCTGACTTTTGATGAAAACTCTTCGCAAGGTATATTGCCCTTGTCCATTCCCCCGATCAGTCTCACAAAGTTTTGTCTGCAAAAACTTCTATTTTGTGAGGGCTAGGAAATGTAAAAATATGTAATTGGACAGATAATCATGGGGTTTAGCTTTCTGAATCTGATATATTGTTGGCTAGTAAGTCCTATTTCAACTTTCTTTAGTTATTTCTTTCTTTTGGTTAATCAACATCTAGAGTTGTGAATATGTTGGAATTAGTTTGACTAATGGTTTTCTGATATCCTTCAAAAATCTGATGACCTCTCACCGCCTTGGCCATGTTTCCGTCATAGGTATAAACAAAAACATCACCTTTAAGCAGTGTTCTAAAGGCGTGTCTAGGCATCGTCAAAACGTTATGTAGGCGCGATGCGCAACGAAAATGCCGAACCTAGTGGCTTGGTGTCTTATTTAGCGGTCAACAAGAATCGTTGATAGCTAATGCGTGCCTAGGCACGATTATGCTTGACTAGGCGAGCTAATGCGTGCCTAGGCACTATTATGCTTAACTAGGCGAGCATGATTATCTTTTTTAAATTTTTTATAATTCTTTGAAGTTAAAACTTAAATGTTGATTTACATTTGAAATTTATCTTTTTGTTGGAAACTTTTGAAAAAAATTATAAAATTTCTATAAATTGGTTTTAGATGTTTGATATGTATTATTTTTAATTATTAAATGATTTTTTGATGGATTAAAAATTAAAATGATTTTAAAATAAGAAAACGCTTTTTTACGCATATGCTTCGCCTTAGCTTGCCTAGCCCATAGCTTAGTCTCAACGCATTATGCCTTTTACAACACTGCTTTTAAGGGTCACGATATAAGGCAGCACACTGATTTTGCAGTTGGTCGAATGGTTGTAGTTCTTCCTTCAATGCTATATTAGAATGATAATACACAGTAGGATACTTTTCACGGAGAGCATTTAAGCCATTTTGACCATAAATTTCCCCGGCAACTATGTAGATCTTAGTGATAGATGGGTATCCCAGTGCTTCCAGTAATACCACTGCCTCCCAAGGAGTCATGGGACACCTGCCTTGGAGCCTTTGTTCTCCACCATTTATGCGTTACTTTTTCCAGTGCCTTTGCGTCTTAATTTCCTGAGCTCCTCAGCCTCTTTCCTAGTAAGGTTGTGATTGCAACCAATAAATGCTAGCATGTCCTTTTCATACCTACAAGTAATCTGATCAGAAATCCTTACTCTCTCTCTCTCTGTTGTATACTGAGCTTTGCCAATCATTTTTGCAAGATATATACCTCAAATGGAGAGCTATATATCGACCATCATTATCCTTAAGCCTGAAAACAAACTCGTTTCAAAGTAGTTCAATTTCTTCTGATAATCGAAGTGCTTCATACATTACATGACATCGAAGTCTCTGGATTGGATCTGGAATGCCATTGTTAGCAATGTGGGAATCAGTGTGCGTAGACTCACTTTATGCCGCTTTAACATTTCAACATCTCTCCTATATTTTAACTTGGCTGCAACAAGACAGTATATGACCAAATTTTCCGTTTTGTACGTAGATAGAATTCATATTATACTGTACGTGTAAATGTATAATGTTGGACATGCCTTGGACCAAGAAACAGGAGCCTTGATGAGGGCTTTGACGTTTGCCATATTTGGCGGAAAAGACGCCAATACTTGTATTAGCATCCATAAAGTGCTTCCAGTCGAAAATATCTTTAAACTTGCTGAGGAAAATCAATATTTAATATGTAAATTTTCTTGTCCAGTACGTGTGTGCGTGAGACATAGAATGTACACATAAATTCATCTGGAGCCCCTAGGATCTGTCCAGAATGACTTGTGATCTAATGAAGGTAAACCAAAGCAGCATTCAACAATTGTGCAATGGCCACCATATCACTGATCTGCACGTAGTTTTGATAAAAATTGTGATTTCCATGAGATATGTAGTTAAAATTTTATCCAAGTTTTGTAGTTAAAACAATAAATGGATGTGAATAGGTTTTGGTTCCTATTTGATGTAGTTAAAAGTAAGATTTTAATAGATCTTGATAAAAAATAATAAAATATGTGATTGAAAAATTAATAAAAATTGTAAGTTTTATGATGAAAAGTAATTGTTAATTTTAACTTAATTTTATCCTTTAGCATTTCATAATCCGTTTGGGGAGAATAGAAAAATCAATAATGTACTTTTGCGTTCGAGCAAATTGAATGTACTTGTACATTTGACACACACGCGCACACATATATATATTACTCAACAACACTTGCTCCACAATGTTATATTAAATTTTGATTACGTCTAATATTCTTAAGCTTGGTGTTGGTTAGAAGCACTATAGTGGTGAAAAGTTCACGTTGTACACATGAATGCGAATGCCCGTTTGGTAGGCATTAAAATGAAAGTTTGTAGAAAAAAATGTGATCGTTAGTGGGCCAACCTGGGACCTACCATAGAGATAAAAAGTCAAAAATTTTTTTTTTTTTTTTTAATCATTTTAATGCCTATCAAACGGGCTCATATTATGCATTCTATAACTTAATTTCCATGGTACAACATATCACAAATGAAATTAGAAATCTTGATCGATGGCTTCACTCATTTGGAGCAATTATTCTACGTAGCAATCCAAAAGGACATAAGATGCAAACATACCATTCGTTACCGATATTCTCAACTTAGTTAAAAGATAAGTGACAGGGTGGTGAGCAAATCCAAATAGGCATTTGAATTGTGATTCACTGCTCCGAAATATCGTGAATGCGTGTGCCGTTTCTCATTTCTCTCTCTCTCTCTGCAAAACGCAATTCTTCCTTCTTCAAGATTCAAACTCCAACCACACTCCTCTCACTTTACATCTCTGTATCCAATATATAGCTACATTGATTTGCACCAAAAATTCTGCATTTTTTTCTTATTTTTGTCTTCAATTTTTGCATTTTTCAATCACCAATGCCCCTCAGACCCCTTATGATCTTCACTCCCCATCCCCATTTTTCAAACCCTAAAACATCAATATAGTTACCAATATACTCTTATTAATCTATACAGATTACTCATTTTTTGGTTTATTTGTTATAGCAAAATGTCGTCAACGAAATTATCGGGCCGATTTTTCACTATTGGCTTAGTGGCTTCATGGTATTCATCCAACATTGGGGTTTTGCTTTTGAACAAATATTTGTTGAGCAATTATGGATTCAAGTATCCCATATTCCTCACCATGTGCCACATGTCCGCCTGTTCTCTGCTCAGCTATATTGCGATCGTATGGATGAAGATGGTCCCGATGCAGACCATAAGATCTAGGTTTCAGTTCATCAAGATCTCGGCTCTCAGCTTCATATTCTGTGCTTCCGTTGTCAGCGGGAACATTTCGCTCAGGTATTTGCCAGTCAGCTTCAACCAAGCCATCGGGGCAACCACGCCTTTCTTTACAGCCGTGTTTGCGTACTTGATTACGTTCAAAAGAGAGGCGTGGTTGACTTATGTAACGCTGATTCCAGTGGTTACCGGGGTCATCATTGCCAGCGGGGTATGTGCGTTGGAATTATTCAGTCTAATTGGTTTGCCTCTTATTTAGTTGACTGCAGTATTGTTTTCTTGGATTCGGTGTATTTGTGTTTGATCTAGATTTTATTATTATTATTATTATTATTATTATTTATGTCAAGCATGACGCTTTTTCTTCATCTGGAAGTGTGTTATTGGTCCAATTGAACTTATGTTTGGTAATTATGAGATTATTTTGGTAGGCAGTAGTAAGCTTGGGGCTCCAAGGAGTTGGGGAAATCGCTTTCCTTTGGAATGAATCGATTATGGTTTCATTAGTTGTCTTGTGGTGATTCCTGCTGTAACAGGATAACATTGACCATAGAATTATTTTCTGTCGTTCTGTTTGCAAAATATAAGTTGTAGTGGAAAAAGAAATTAGCATTCTGTATTCTAATTATTATTGATCTGAGGATATCGCTGATTTTGGAAATTGAGATATCTGGTGTTTTGAAGTCTACTAAATAACGTTGTCAGTTAGCAGAAAACTGTAGTCAGAGTTCAGTTAGAATTATGTCAGTATCGACAGTATCCTGAAGCCTAATCGGTTGCTCAAGGCTAGATTGAATGAGAAATTAAAATAGAAAGAAGCTTCCTATAGCTAACGAAAGAAGCCTGCAAATTGAGCTTGACTCTCCATTTCAACATATATATTTTTTGAAAGTAATTAGGATTATATTTTGAACACCCAATACAATGTCATTTTAAATGGTGAAAATGAAAATTTATTGTTTCTTATAGTGTACTGAATTACACATTATGAGCTGGTGGAAGTTGCTTTCATCAGTATCAATTTCAGAAAAGATAAATAAATAAATTCAGATACCATGATAAAATTGATGTCCATACTGTTTCTTCCCGAGGAAATTCGCATATCTGCCAAGCTGATTTGAGCAAGATACAAAAGATATGCTGATACACTGTACCTAGCATGTGTTGCATGTTATTGTTAAATTGCTGCTACTTGCTATGTTATTTGGAAGAAATTAACTAGGTTTTTTGTCTTGTTCACTCTTTTCATGTTGTTAGGGTGAGCCGAGTTTCCATTTATTTGGATTTATTATGTGTGTCGGTGCAACTGCTGCGAGGGCACTCAAATCAGTTGTTCAGGGGATTCTGCTTTCTTCCGAAGGGTAATAATATATGTATATTCTGCTATGTTGTATATTCTGGTGAAGTTTTGCAAGGAATGTTTTGCCTTTTGCATGGAGAGAACTTAGACATGTTTGTTGAAACTTTTCTTATCTTGTTGAAGGGAGAAGCTGAATTCTATGAATCTGCTCATGTACATGGCTCCTATAGCTGTCGTACTCCTAATTCCCACTACACTCTTAATGGAAGAAAATGTAGTTGGCATCACATTGGCACTTGCAAGAGATGATATCAGAATTGTCTGGTTACTGTTATTCAATTCTGCGCTTGCATATTTTGTGAACTTGACCAACTTTTTGGTCACAAAACACACCAGTGCTCTGACTCTTCAGGTATTCCTGGCTTTCTGTTGCATGCTATTCTCCTTTATTGAGCTGCAATATTATTTGAATTTGCATATGTATGTATCTTGCTGGCATTTGAATAAAGGGATTGGTAAGTTTCATTCTAAGAGACTAATAGTCAGATCCATGTGACATTTTATTCATCGGTCAGGAAAGGAGAGTAACAAGATCCGATTTCTAGGAAACGAACAACAGGATCCAAAAAGAATACTTGTAGGTTACCTAGCCCCTGTTTGGTCGGGATTAAAATTTGATTTTAATCCAAATCAAAGTCAAACAATCAATATTAACCATATTTTTCATGGGTACCACAACTTTTCAACCACACATTTCAAAAATTTCAATCACAATCTACTAAAAATCTAATTTTAATCTCCACTAAACACCCTCCTAATAATTATATGATGCATTTTCAATTCTACATGTGGTTGAATTTTTAAATGTGCAGTATATTTGTCCTATTTTGTTTCCTTCTGATAATTTAGCAGAACACAGTATGCATTCTAAAACTATTTGTTGAAAGGAAATGATTGTAGCATAAGTATATTATCTTTTCAAGAAGTACTCTCCTCTTTATGGTCATTTTCATGTGGATGTTTCTGTGTGTCTGGCTACAGAAATAAATGTACACTTTAAAGATATTTAAAGCATTCTCCAAGAATCTTCCGCAAAAATGAACTGATAATAATACCTATATTGCGTCACTTTTTTGGCTGCAGGAATCCATATTATTCTTCGAGTAATATTTTTCTTTTCAACTTTTGCTATTTTTCAAACGGAACAATCTTTTTATTAGAATGCTGCTGCATTTCCCTTTTTGCCATTTTTCCTTCTTGAGGAAGGTTGGGGGTGCAGACAGGAAGGTGGGAATAATTTCATTGTGCTCATTTCATGAAAAAATGCAATGGAAATGAAATAATTGTTCCATTTCTTTTTTGTGGATCTTTTAGTAGAGAAATGTTACCTTAAACTAGAAAGAACAGTGGTAGGAAATGTCTGGATCTTCGTCTGGAAATATATTCCTGATGTAGCTTATTCAACAATGTCCATCTAAAATATTAAGAAACTAAATACATGTTGGAAAGATGCCATTTCTTTTACCTGCGAAAAGTTCATTTTCATCATTTTCCCTTTGGATACCACTGAATTGAATAAAATTAAATTAGATGGTGAAAGAGAACTTGCAAAAACCATTTCTCCTGTGGATGAAAATTTCGAGGAGAATAGTAATGCAGAAATTTCTCTGTGCATTATTCCTGAAAACACTAAAAATAATTTGTGAGAATGATTCTTGCAAACTGGGAGTTAGGTGTATAATGTAGACGATCTAATTAAATCACATCCATTTATCTTTTCTTCTGATTAAACTGTTTTTTTCCTTTTTCTTGGTGGAGATTGAGCTTTAAATAGTATATTTTTTTATAATGGAGTGTGTTTACAATTTGGTAATACAGTTGCTGGTCCTTTCAGGTCCTGGGAAATGCAAAGGGAGCAGTTGCAGTGGTAATCTCCATATTGATATTTAGAAATCCCGTCTCTGTTACTGGAATGCTTGGGTACTCTCTGACAGTCATTGGTGTTATCCTCTATAGTGAAGCCAAGAAGCGTAGTAAATGAGATTAAACTGGAAACACATCAACCAAGAAATCCCTTTATTCTGAAATGTGAAAAGTTGCAACTGGTAAGATGTTGGTACCATATGCTTGAAGTTGGTACATGGATTTTGCCTGGGAAGGCTGGGAAACCAACATGTACACCAGCAACCAACACCTGATTTGACGCAGTAGAAGTTTTATTATGTGACCGAACTGTTCTTATGTAGAAAAGATCCTATTAAATAGAGTAAATGCTATTTAGTAACACTGGTGTTTGACATCCGTCTACGTGGCAATACTTGTGCCATTAAATTATAGGTTTAATTAAATACAAAAATTTATGACTCATTTATTAGGATCTATGACATGCTAATTCCCAGATTGGTGTTAATACCAATGGTGCTAGATAACATTATTTTATTAAATATTACCTTGTATTCTTTCAACAAAGGCACAAAGTATGTTGATTAATTTTTTATATTGATGAAATTATACAGTTTGGCATCTTAGTTAATGGTTCAAGTTAACTCATTATGGTCTTGTATTCATTTTTCCCTATTTCTTTCGCTGGCCCTACTTTGATCAAGGGGCATGCAAGTGGATAGCTATCCTATTATGCATTTATCGATGAATTTGCACTTCCAAAAATGTTCCTATGGGTATTTAAATGGTCCAAAATCTGAGAATTCCTTCATTTATAAATTACATAAATGCCAAAGGGAAAATTGGATAGAATCAAGCGAAAGGAGAAAAATATGTAGATATACAAAATACCCGAGGATTCAAAGAAAATTATTTACAAATACGTTTCCAGAAGAAAAACGCTACTTGTATATAATGATTTACATAACGAGGTGTTAAAAATGGATGGGGGAAAGTTTTTTCTTTTATTTGGTTTAAGAAATTATGACCCACTCATTTCTCTAAACATCATGTATATGTAAACCATTTTGTAAACAATTAAATACATGTAGCACAACTGAATCCAAAAATGGCCGATTTAATTCCCAACTCTTCACCTCCCTACTACCAAGGATCACAAATATGCTAAAGCATCCTAGAACTTGAATTACGTATTTACAAAATACTGTCTCAATTCATCCTATTTCATCAAATCCGGGGTGTGATAGGGTTCCGAAGGATGAACCGGATATGGACAATTCCAATAAGATTTCATTCTAGAACACAATAAATTCTAACAAATATATATAAATAATAGAATAGAATTAATAAACTAAATAAACGGCGTCTTCTTTTATTCGAAACGCCCCGTGATCTTCAACCACAAGGGTCAATGTTTTTGGAATGTCTACTAGTCAGATATCAACTACTATATTAAGAGAATGAAGGGATATTTCCTCAAGGATGAATGAGTTAATTAACTTGGCGACCATTTTCTTATGAAGGGAAATTCTGCTTCAGGCTTGATTTCTACGAGTATAAAC